TAAAACTCGTATATATATATACAGGCAGGTTACGTTTACAACTTTTTTTTTTTGTTTACAATTCTTACAACCTCAACTATGTTATCATGGGAGAACAATAATAGAGAGTATTTTTCCGAGAGAACATAGTTGAGACGGTAAGAGTTGTAAATAAAAAAAATTGTAAACGCAACTCTATATATATATATATATATTTAAATTAAATATTATTGATCAAAAAGATTCAAATTCACTTTCGAAATGACTAACAGAATCCATTAACACTGAGGGGACATTTGGTAGAGGAGAAAAAAAAATTTACTAAGAAAATATAATTAATAGGAATATGGTGGGAAAGTGAGTTTGGTAGGAAAATTAAAAAAAAAAATTTGTTTGGTTGGTCAAAATATTACCAAAAAAATTGGATAAAATTTTCTGAATATATGTTTGGTTGAAGGTAAAATATTGATGGAAAAATAGATTGAAATGACAAAAATAACCCTTATAATTTTTTCTCAAAGTTGGTGCCACCAATCAAATTTTACATTTTAAACTTTTATGAAACTGATATTTGAGATAATTACCATTTGACATAAAGTATTGAAATTTACCAATTTTCCCTTTTCGTTATTTGCATTTTTTTACGCTTTCAAAATGGTATCTGTGCGTGAAGAATTTATATAGAACCAGAAAACATCAAAATAGACTATTATTAAAGAGTGAAAGAGAGAAACAATAAGAAAGGGAATTACAACTATAAATGAGAGAGGTTCACAAGATGGACATCTGTACACAATGGAGGGTCATATTTTTCAACTTTTCACTTTTCGATTCATCACAAAATACCACATGCAAAGTGGTATTTTGAAATAGTGATTTTCATCACATTTTTCACACAATTAACTTTTCCTATGCATCTTATTTTACTAGGGAAGTTTTTGAAAAACTTATACCAAACATAATAATACTTGATACCCACTCACACTTCGTCGTCAATCTCAAAATAAATCTCTTACCAAACACCCCCATAAATCTATAGGCATGGCTTCACCACTTTTATATACATTTATCTACAGAAAAATTATTGAGGAGTAACGATAATTACACAAGTAAATATATATAGTAACAAAATTAAGATAATGGCATATTTTAAAATATAACATTTGTTTAAAATGTTTTCTTAAGTATTTTATCGGTTTCTGTATAAGTTTGAATACAATTTGACAGTATTTCAAATAATTTTTTTATCATTATAATTCCACATTCACATTTCTTTTAATTATTTTTAGTGGATGTGAGTTATGCACTTCTTGATGACAAGCCAATCGGCAATCGCAGGGCACGCCACACGAAAATCCGCTAGTCAGTGCATATGACTCACAACATCACGTGATTCAAATTCTGTAAAAACTTGACAAAAAAATCGTAATTATTGTGTTACGTAATTTTCTTAATGTACAAAGAAAAGATTTTATATAATGATATGATATTAACTTATTAAACACTAAACGCAGCTTGTCAACACCAAAATTATTATACCAGAATTTCTCACATATACAAACAAAATATTGAAATTTTCTTAGGAAGGAGTCATAGCCAAAAACCTCTGACTGCTTTTGAGGTCATGTAATTATATCTCCCACTTTCCTTAAAATTGAAAATGATTGACGTATTCTCTAGAGTCCAAGTGTAAGACATGCTTGCTCTGTTTTCTCAACTTGCTATCTATTCTCAGTCCAAGGAGACGGTGGAGCCATTTGTTCTTTAGGTGGTGCCTACCACCATCTAATTTTTAAAAATAGTATAAATTTTCTTTAAAAGTTATGGTACAACCTTAGCACTAGTTGAGTTTTTATAAATAATGTAACCTTGACACAAGCTAAATTTTATGTGGTTGAATCTTTTGGCACCAGTTATATTTTACTTCTAGCTTTGCCACTGGCATAACATAAATGATTTACGATTTTCTTCATTTTTTGAGTTTAATAAAAAAGTAATATTTTTCTTATGTTATATAAGAGAAGTATTATCTCCTACACTCACATTTTTCAAATGAGTCTCACAAATTTTTTTTCTCTCGCCTCCAATTTTTCTCTCTCTCCTATTTATTATTTGAGTAGGAGATAATACTTCTCTTACACAACATAAGAAAAATATTACCCTTATTCCCTTAATAAAATATCAATAGCAATGTAAGATTACATGGAGGAGTTTATATTATGTTTTTATTTTATTTTATTGATAGCAGAGAAAAAGAAACATTTTGATCAATGGCAAAAAACATCAACCTTAGTTTATTGGTGTTGGTCCCTTCACCATGAGTTCTTCTTGACCCACTTGACAATAATATTAAAGCCAGTAGGTACTCAGAGAGGCTTCCGTTAAGGGGAAGCATATTAATTTAGGATTTCACATTTAAGAAAGAGATTGTTGGGATATTCAAGTGTGAAATTGATTGATAATGAGTTAGGTGAAGTTCATATATAAGTGAGTGAACTCATAAACACAATACCTTAAAGTAGTGTTTGGTAGAAGATTTATTTTTGGATTGATCGGAAAGTGTAAGTGGATATTGAAAAATACCACGTTTGGTTCAGGTTTTTGAAAAAAAAAATACTAGGCAAATAGGATAGATGAGGAAATGACTTTTGTGTTGATTTTTAGATGAAATTCACTATTACAGAATACCACTTGAGATGAGGTATTTTGAGATAACCGGGGAAATGAAAAAATAGGTGCGAAGTTTCTCCCGAACATAGATTTTACAAATTTAAATAAATTTCCCTGGTAATATTTCGGTCAACCAAACAACTTTTTTTACATTTTCCTATCAAACTCACTTTCCAATCATTTCCCTGGTAATTATATTTTCTTAGTATTCAAAATTTTTTTCCTCAACCAAACGTCCCCTAAGGTTTTGGATTGATATATGTCAGGTCCATTTGCTACAATTGGAGTAGCTTATCCGATTACCATCTCTCTACTATAGTCTAAGAGAAAACCATATAAATGGTAGGATCAATAAAAGAAGTCAATAAAAATATAAGTGAGAGTACACATGATACGTCCAGTACACTTTAATCGCCTCTTTTATATCTTACATATGCTAGTGTATATTTTGTTATTGCGATAAATTGTATATTATGAGTTGTTTGAATATATTAATATCATTTTCATACATTAAACTTTGCATGAAATTATAATTTAGAATCAATAAAGGGACTTTTGTAAAAAAAATAAAAAAATTGTCATACTCAATTCACCCGCCACATTTATAACAGAAGTTGTAATCTTTGTAATTATTTCTTCTATTTTTTTTTAATTTTAAGTATTTTACATTAAAAAATCTAAATCATATAAGTTATTTAACATTATTGTCGCCTTATATATAGTTACGATCGAGTTGATATCATATTAAATATTTTTTGAATTCACCGGCTGCTTGTGCCGAAATTTTGCAAGGGACAAGGTAGGATGAATACATTTAAAAATGCTAATGAGATTTTAAAAAGTGCTACTACATTTAAAAAAAAAATGCTAATGAGATTTTTATGCACTTCTGTTCGTCTATGAAAAATTGAAAATAGTATATCTTTGCTTATGTATGCGGAGACTTGAGAATTTCAGAGAGGGAAATGTATTCGTTTTTGTTAAAAAAATAAAAATAAAATTGAGGAGCAGCTGCCTCCTCTACCTTAAAAAAATTATTTTGCTTTGTCCACTTAATCTATTTCAACGGGTGATCAATAACTTTGAATCATGACATTAACAACGTTGAAAATTTAAGACTTCATGCACCCCAGAACAAAAAAGAAAAAAGGAAAGGAAATTTTAAGACTCTATCCGCACTTTGCCTGTCAAGTTCCATTCATGTATGGATTTCTATGTTTTTAAGCGGGAAAAGCATGTAATTGTAACATAATTTAAAAATATGGACAAATTTGACATATAATTTAAAAAGAAAAAAGAAAAAAGAAAAAATTAATTTTGAAAGAGAAATAAATGAATCAATCAGGCACGTGACATGTGTTACTCAAATTTTATAGAGCTAATACAATATAAAACAATTTTAAAATTTAAACTAAAATATAGGCTTAATTCGCCAGGGTCACTCCTATAAGCTATAGGCGAGATTTTAATCAGTGTGAACACCTTTTCTTTCTCTACCAAGCGCAAATTTTTTAAATACTACAGTTGTATCAAATTGGGTACATCATTTTACTAAAATAAAAAAAATTTATTTCATTTTAATCCCTTAATTTTTATCCATTTCCTTTTTATGCCCCCGTTGCTTTCTAATTTGGGAACGGTACTAAGTAGTATCCAAAGTTTGTGGTGATCTAGGCCCCACACATGGGAAGCCTCATCAAGTCAAGTGAAGCACAGTATCAAAAAAAATAAAAACAGTAGTGCTGAATAACTGGGATATGAGGTCAGCTGTGACCATACATGCGACATCTAAAGTCAAAGAAAAGAAACCAAAAAACAGTTGACTGCCTAATTACGTGTGAACGACTCAAGACTCGAATAACTCATACAGAATGAAAAGGTGCCGGTTTCAAAGGTTGCGGCCCATAGTGCTTCCAATGAGAAACCCATTGAATTTAAACCAAATATACAGTGATCCCAGTCTTCGCACTCAATTTATTAATGTCAAAATTCCATCACGTTTTATTTTCTCAATTCTCTTCTACTTCTAGAGGATTAGAACTCAAAACACAACACCAATAAGATTTCAAAACAGAAACAGAACAAAAGTCAACTCGTACACCCGCTTTGTAACATGTAGCTTTCTAGTTAGATTTTCTCTGTTTCCGCAGAAGCAAACTCAACTCCTTTATTAGTGATACTCAGAGAAATGTAATGTACAACTACAAGTCTCCTATATCGTAAGATAACATATCACACAGGAGTAGGACATTACGAACAATCAAGCATAATTAAGTTACTCCATATTAATGCCATGCATTCAAATTAGCGATGTCACCCTTTGAACTTGTTAATGCCTAGTGTAAAAAAGATCATAGATCATCAGCAAGCTGTTGTTGCAAGAACCACAAGTTTTCATCCGTCCACAAGTCTGCACCACCAAAACCATTGTCCGAGTAGTCCCTCTGCTGCCATGGGGTGGATGTGGGTCCCTTTTCTGCATTCTCTGGCCAATTACCACCACCCATTAAATTGTAAGACACGCTTGAATCAGAGAGAGAGGGAGCTTGAACATCAACTCCTGTTGAGTACGATGAAGCCACAGACAACATGCGGAGATTTGGTCCACATGATTCACTGTGTGCTTGAGTGTTGCATAAGGTGGTTTGGGCTTGACCATGGGAAGGACCAGTCCCACAAGAGGCCTGGATCTGCTCCATCAAGCGGGGCATCCATACAAGACGCAAAGTGTCCCTGAATTGTTTGCTATTGACATCACATTTGAGTTGCTTAGCTTGCTTCACTACTCTGGTCCTCCAATAGTTCTTGATCTCATTGTCTGTTCTGCCAGGCAATTGTTCTGCTATTTTTGACCACCTTCAATAAATATATAACACAATATTATAATATCATAGTTTGATCAACTTACTCGATTGCAAAACTTAATAAGTTAACCACTTAATCTTATGATATTAATACATAATACACAACATACCTATTTCCCCATCGGAAATGGAGGTCAAGAATCAAGAGCTGTTCTTGAAGGGTGATGTTCCCACGTCGAACATTTGGACGCAAGTAGTTCAACCATCTTAGTCTGCAGCTTTTGCCCGTTCGCTTTAGACCTGCAGTTCAAAACATTAGCATCCACAATCAAACATAAGCCAAGGTAGTGCATGTTAAGGTGGTTAAAGATTTGATTAACTAGTACACAAATATATGAATAGCTTACCTGCACAGCGAGCGACGGAGTTCCACTGACTTTCTCCGTGGACAGTGATGTAGTTGATCAGAACAGAATCCTCTTCCTCTGTCCATGGACCTTTCCTTATTACCATCTCTTCACTTCCATATGTTGCTGCTGAGCCACAATCTGATAAACTTCTAGTCACGTGAACACCGGTCGTGTACCTTGTCTCCATATTGCACTCAATCAACTTATATTTATCGGGCTTTTTTGTTCTTTTGTTTTTTCTGACACGGACAGAAAAGTGAGGGGGGTTCTGAAAAAAATTATGTTAGCTCATTCTGTTAAGCATATGCTAGAAAAGGTGATTATATAGAGAGGTATATCAGCTGAAACTGACATTGGATTTAGGACGATCTGCACTTTGAGGATTGAATATTTGTCAAAACTATAAAGATAAAGTCGGTACGGTGGCTGCGAAGATCGCAGAATTGTTAATTAATTAAAGGAGATTAAATTAGATTTTCCATGTAAGTTTTGGTGTTTTTGATTTTGACCTTGCTATTTGGAGTTGACCCTTTGACTTTTCACACGCATATAGATCAAGTTTGCAAAATAATAATACTTTTTTAATGTTGTCTGGTTCGATGCAACACTCGGTCAGCATTACGATTCCAAAATGGAAATGGTTCTTGTATCTGGCAGTTTTTCAGGGTAAACCCCTCCCTAGTTGCATTAAAGCTAATTGCTACTGAATGCGAAAATATTACCTTTTTTTTTAATAAAAGAAGGTATACCTATTCAATCACCTGTACTCATTTTTGTCCTTAAGAGGATCGCATAGTTAAATTATCATAAATTGGAGGTATAGTGATACTAAGGGTGTGCATGGTAACTATTCTGTTTCTTGGTACTGTTTCTGAAAAAAATAATTCTTTTTTTTTTTTCTATTTCTGTGCTTTGGAAGAATTTCTGAGAAAAAAAAAATTGTTTGATAACATGTTTTTTTTTATTCCGAGAATGAGAATTGAGTTTGATAATACAACAAACAATAGAATAAAAAATTATTCCTATTAAGCATAAATTTTGTTCGGATCATCACTTTTCTTTTCATATAGTGTGGTGGCGGCGGCGACGGTGGTGGTTGTAGCAGTGGTGATGGCGGTAGTGGAGGTGATAGTGTCATGGTGGTAGTAGTGGAGGTGATAACATGTTGTTGGTGGCGGTGGCAATAGTGGTGATGGCATGGTAGCGGCGGTGATAATGGTGACAACGACAATGGTGGCATGGTGGTGGTGGTGACGATAGTAGCTGCGGCGATGGTGGTGGTGATGGTAGTGGTAATGGTGGTGATGGTGATGGTAGTGGTGGTGGTGGCGATGATGGTGATGGTGGCAGTAACGTAGAGGTGGTGGTGGTGGTGACAGTAGTGGCCGCAACAGTGGTGGTGACAGCAGTAGCCGCAACAGTGGTGGTGACAGCAGTAGCCGCAACGATGGTGGTGGCACGGTGGTGGTGGTGGTGGCGGTGGCGGTGGCGTGATAATGATAGTGGTGGCAGCGACAGTGGTGGTAATGGTGGCATAGTGGCTGCGGTAGTGGTGGTGGTGGTGGAGACGACAGTGGCTGCGACGATGGTGAAGATGATGACATGGTGGTGGCGGCGGTGGTGGTAGTGGCATGATAATGGTAGTGGTGGCGGCGGCGGCGGTAATGGTGGTGGCGGTGGCAGCGACGACAATGGTAGTGGTGGTGGTGGTGACAGCAGTGTCTGCGATGATGGTGTTATAGATGACATGGTGGCAGCGGTGTAGTGGTGGTGGTGGCGGCGGCAGTGGTGGTGAAGGCAGTGGTGGCGAAGGCAGTGGCGACGATGATGGTGGCGGTGGTGGTTGGTGACAATGGTGATAATGGTGGTGACGGTGATGATAGTTGTGGTGGTGGTAATAACAGTGGTGGTGGTGGTACGACGATGGTAGCAATGGTCGTGTCAAGATGGTGGCGGCAGTGGTGATGATGGTAGTGGTGGAGAGTAATTGGGAGAGATAAGCGTTTCTCATTTTGTGCCGAGTAATCAAAAAGCAGAAATTGTTTTTTTTTTCCCAGCACAAAAATTGAACTGGTTCATCCTGGGAACAAAAAAAATAAACCGATTTTACCAAAGGAATTTTCTATCCATTTCTGTTCCCGAGAGTAGAAATAAAAAAAAATAGATTCCGGGAAGGTTGTCATGCACACCCTAACTCACCCAAGCTTAAAGCATAAAGATTTTGAGTCTTTCCAATGATCCAACCTACAACTCGATCCTTAGGCACAATCCACGACCAAGTGTGCCACCCATTGATGTTTTAAAAAATTTACTTTTGATCAATCGAACTCAAATTGGGCTAGGTCTAATCACATGCAATTGAAGTATAGGATGTTGATGAAGAGAAGGAGAGATGACAAAAGAAAAATGTTGTATAGCTTTGGCGAGATGGTTGATCAGCACTTTGCGTATCTGGGTAGTTTGAGAGAAATGAAGGGTACCTGCAAAGGCACTCTGACGCTCAAGTCAGTCCAGTATTCAAGGAGGTTCAACTATTCAAAGAGATATATCGTACTTGGGCTAAAAGCTTCTGTATTTATAATGCTTGAATGCCTTTATTTCTCACTGTCTTTCATAAGATGATGTTCATGTTTATTGGTGGAGAGGGGTGACCTCTCTCTGGCTATTCCTTGGTGGGCAAGCCTATGTTCAGTAGTAGATTCAGTAGATATGGTGGCAAGTAGGAGCTGGCATTCATTCAGTGATTCTGGTGAGTGGTGATGACCAACTTGCCTAAGCTGCTGATCTCGGCACTGACGCTCAAGTCAGTCCAGTATTCAAGGAGGTTCAACTATTCAAAGAGATATATCGTACTTGGGCTAAAAGCCTCTGTATTTATAATGCTTGAATGCCTTTATTTCTCACCGTCTTTCATAAGAATATGTTCATGTTTATTGGTGGAAGGGGTGACCTCTCTTTGGCTATTCCTTGGTGGGCAAGCCTATGTTCAGTAGTAGATTCACTAGATATGGTGGCAAGTAGGAGCTGTTATTCATTCAGTGATTCTGGTGAGTGGTGATGACTAACTTGCCTAGGCTCCTGATCTCGACAATGATTGTTCCTTTCAGTTTAAGCCACATTTGGCTTGCTGGCCAAGTTAGAGAGATCCTATGCTTTCTATTCAGGATGAGTTTGCCTTGGTGTCTAAGTCACCGGGGGTTTCTGGGCTCTTGGACCTTTATATCGCATGTAGCAGGTCCAGAATAAAAGTCCCACAACTTGCTGCTTATGTTGTAGGCATGAGGAGAAAGATGTATTCTTCATGCGAGATTCATTCTTTATGCGAGATGGTGATTTGTGGCGTGATATTGCCACGTATTCCTACTTGAGTAGGTTTTGGTAATCTATTATTTCGCCTCTTAAAAGATGATTGATGTGATTTTAAACTGTCAAAAGTATTAAGTATTATCCCTTTGGTCTTCTACCGACACATGTCTCACTTACTGTAAAATCGTTTCACTTTTGTGTGCCTTTACGCATACACTTTTCGATTACTTTTCGTAAATTAACCTTGACGGTTTTGGAAGGAATGTTACGTATTGCTGCTTTGTGTTTTCTTCTTTGCTAAAACTATTCTCTCCTCTTCCATATTCGTCTCCCTTGCTTTCTTTGCTAATTTGCTTTCGTGACATGTTTGGAAGTAAGTAAGTAGCTTCTGTGTTCGTGTGAAGAACTCCATCGATCATACCTCAAGTATAAATACTAGGTATTTACTTTCACTTGTTCCTTCATTTATTTGCATTTCTGGAAATTCTTTGAATGCTGGTAGTATCTGAGTGTTGAAGTTCTACATTTTTGATTTGCATTCCTGTTGAAAATGAGTTTGTTTTTCCTAAGTATTTTGTATTTCTGGGTTTTGTATTTGTGAAGAGTTTTCCAACAGGTTTAAGAGAATGTCTGATAAATATCCTTTTTCTGCATTTTTTAGAATGGCTGAAAGGTCGGACTCTTCTAGCCCCGAGCCTAGACAAATTCCTAGGCTTAGGTTGTCCATGTCGATTAACACTGGAGAATGGTGGTTAACAGGCAATGGTATTTTCCCTTGAGAAAAGGTTGAGATTGAAGGGACTCTTCTTCCTACCTTGAGGGGTTATGGAGATGGGTCATCATCAGGGGGCTCTAGGCGAGCTAGAGCTTTATCCCGTGGGAGCCATGGGGGATCTCGTGGGTTGCCAAGGGTTCACTCCCAACAAAGCAATATTCTTGAACGAGCTGACCCTAATACACATATTCCTTCATCCTCAAAAAATCCTATCATCCTTTCCAATAGTTCAAATTCTGAGTTGAGACCCCCTTCTGCTCCTAAGATATCTCGCAGCCCTAGTTTTATACCATTAAATGTCGTATATCCCGCTGGCTATCCCTTTAAGAAATGCAAAACTTGCGGGATTCCTGTTAGTTCATTTTTCAGCTCCTCCTCTAATTCTTCTAATACTGATTTTATTGTTTATTCTTTTAGGAAAATCATGAGTAGAAGAACCTTTCAAGGGAGGAATGTCTTAGGTTTACGAGATGTTGCCAGCCTCGCATGGGGTTTTTAACGATGTTAAGAAAATGGTGTCCAAGTACCATACCACTTGATTTGTTGCGGAGTTGTCTACCACTATTCACCTCACCATAGATAAAGCTTATGATCATAAGTGGGAGATTTCCCCAGCTCCTGTGGATGAATGAGTTTGTTCTTCTTGCATTGATGATAGGTCAATTTTTTTTGACGATGACTAGCATTTTCTTCCATTCTTTAGGTGTTTGTTTTCCTTTCTCTTCTTTCGTCAATAATCTCTTATATCAAATTATTTTGCCTTTTCACAACTTCATCCAAATGCATGAGGCTTCATCCATGTCTACGAGAAGTTATGCAAAGCATATAATCTTCATTCATCCATTTCGTCCTTTCTCACACTTTTTAGAGTGTATAGTTCCCGCAAGAGCTGGGTTTCCTTCAGAAAGAACCAAGCCTTCAACTTTTGTGAAGCATATTCAAACAAAATTCACTCTTGGAAAAGGGATTATTTTAAAGTATACCTTGCTCAAGGTTATCATCCTTTCTTTCTAGACTATAAAGATGATGCCCCTTATTTCCTTTGTATTGGGCCCCACATAATGATGATTATCATAAGATGAGTTATGAGTATGATGGCTTGGATAGTCTTGAGAGGATAACTGTGGCAAAGTTGTTCGACATTGTTTACAATTCCACGGATATTGGTTTGTTGAGCCCGTATACTATCCTCTCAAAATATACTGATGAAGATGTGATGGCCTTTCTCGGTATGAATCTGATTATGCATGTAGCACTCATGTGTGATCCCACACTTTATTTTGTGGCTCTATTTTTTTCCAGTCATGCTATAATGCCTTATTTCCAAATTTTAGTAAATAGCGAGATGTCGAGCAGACTTCAAATAATGGAAATCTTAGTGAAGGAAATAACTAAAGTTGCATATTAGGTCCTCTTGTAGTTTATTGAGGGAAACACATTCGTTCCCAAGATTATGACTCTTGGTACTTTTTACAATTAGTCAGGGAAACACATTCATTCCTTAGTACGAAGACCACTTCGCGCAAGTGCACGTATCAAATAAGAAAGGGGAGTTTTTAAGTTCCAGATTATTGTTACCACGGAGAAAGTATTGCTAACTGATATTTTAAGCTGTGTTAAAGAATGAAAAGAATTAAGTTAACAGTATTGAACTGTTCTGGTTGACGTTCCCAAGTATCCCAAGGGTTTCCCCCTTGTGACAAATGGTCCAGTTTAACTTCAAACAATTCTTCGCGTTGTTATATACTTAAGTCCTTCCTAATACAAGTAGGAACAACAGATCATAGGAATCAATTGTCGTATGGTGTAAAGTGAAAGAAAATAAAATGCATAAAGGTAAAGTGAGGTTTAGCAAGCAACAACATTATGATTTTTTAAACAGGACAATAAACTAAAGAAAAGAAATGGATCCACTAATCCACTATTAAACTAACTGCAATCTTGGCTCAAGACCTTGCCCAATGAGTTTGTTCAGATTTATTTAATGTCAACTCTGATTCCTCAGCTCATGGGCTAAGTGGTATACGAAGCCCTTTATTCCTATGGCAACTTTGTTTCTAACAATGACTTGGCACAGAACCTTTAGTAAATGAGGTGATCCCTTATTCCCAAGGCAACCAGTGAAGTGTTTCCATACTCTCACCTTCTTCCTATTGTTCAGCTGTCTGAATTTCCTTCATTTTGGAAGTTTCTTTCTCAATTATGCTCAATGTCAGTTGATACAAGATATTAAAACACTTAAACAATAGAAACCTAAAAGGTTTAGTAAGAGAGTTTCAAAGACAGAGATTTAACAGCTTCATAGTTTTTCCATTCCAAAAGAAATTAGCTCATGTTTAAAGAAATGACTGGAAATACGTACAAAATCTTAACAACTTGAAATCCCATAGACCCGAGATACAAATTGATGAAGACGAACTGGTGAGAAAGAAGTTACAGACTCAAAGGCTTTAAAACTCAACATACAACATTAAAATAAAATGGAGAAGTATGATTCTTTGCTTGAGAGGAAACTTAATGGTGGATAGAGAAGATAATGGTGTTCTTCTATGCTAAGAGCTCGGTTAGCAGAAGCTGATTATGCCAAGGCTGCAACTAAGGATTCTCAGACTTCAAAACTAGTTATGCCTTCATTTGATCTTTTATTTATAGGCACAAGGAAGACAATGGCAGTCTTGTGATTAATGCGGGTCGTTCCTTGCACCGTTTGATGGAGTTTGCTTCCTCCAGCTTGATCAGATGCTTGGAATTTATTCCCCAAGAAGAGGATAAGGATGATCCGTCCTCTTGTACTGATTCTCAAGGATGATCTCCTAACATTTAAGTGTGGCAACCTGGTTTCCTGTTTTGCTTTATGTCGCGTTGTCCTTTGGCTGCTTTGTTGTGCGCGCTAAACTATATAAATAGAGACTCAGACCTCAGAGCAAAACATCTTTTGGCTGGAGCAAATTGCGAGGATCAGAGAATTGAGAGAATTCTTGGAGACTCGCGCTGAAGATCAGGATTCCACGAAAGTTGAAGGCTGAAGACATTGAGTTTTTATTCTTCTTCTTCTTCTTTTCTTCTTTATAGTTTATGAACAATTTTTCGTTTTATTTGTTTAAGTCAGACATGAACATGTCTGGCTAATTTCTTTATGTAGTTGGGAGCACGGACCCGATGTGAATCCTTTTATATTTTTTGTATTGTATTTTATAATTTAATTAGTTAGTTTATTTTATTCTACCTGGTTTAATTTTTTCATATCCTGTTTAGAACAGGCCATTCTAAATTATAAAGCTTTGAGGGTTAGAATTCACAATAGATATATTAGGGTTTTAATCCAGACAGGGGTAAAATAACAATTTGTGTATGATCTAGACATAGGCTTACATAAATTGCAGACTCATAATTCATTTGCTTAAGGCTTATTTCAAGAAGGATCACTAAGACATTAGGGTTCTAATTGGGTAAAAGGGTTGAAATCACTAAGACATTAGGGTTCAACTATTTTATAGGGAAATAATGAATTGTTTGAACAAATGAATTAATTATTTATAAAATACAATATAGGAATATAAGGGAGGATCGGAGGTGAAGTGTATCCTGGCTACAATTTTCTTATAAATTTTTCATCAATCTTCTTTCGCGTTCTTGATCCTTTCTTGCATGCGTTCAAATTCCGTTGTTATTTAAATTCTGTTTTTAAATTTAATTATTTTAAAAATCTGTTTTGGATTTTCCAAACTATTTCACAACACAACCAACTTTTCTGTTCCAAATTAAAGGGAATAGTTAGACTAGTACTTGGTGCCTCAATCCTCGTGGGAACGATACTTTTCTTATCACTTTATTACTTGGAACGATCGGTGTACTTGCCGAGTTCGCAACAAGTTTTTGGCGCCGTTGCCGAGGATTGAATACGCTAATATTAGTTTTAACTTTCGATCTTTGAGATTGGAATTTTTCTTTTTATTTTTGTTACTAAAAGATTTCTTTCTTTTTATGCGAGATAAAGCTAACAAGGAACTTTTACAGTTTGATCCAGAAATCGAGAAGACTGCTAAGAGGAATTGGAAGCAAACCAGAGCAAGAAAGATAGAGGAATCCTCGAGTTCAGTGCCGAAAGTCGAGCCTAAGATGGCCGCTAATAATCAACAACCTCCTGCGGAGGAATTGATGGAGTCAATCTTGGCTCCAATGTTTACAAGGCCAAATTCAAGCATCATCAGACCACCAGTCAACGCCAATAATTTTGACATCCAGCCAGCACTTATAAACTTGGTTGAGAAAAATCCATTTGGCAGAGAAGACTATGAAGACCCCCCTGATTTCATAGACAGATTTGTGAGAATCTGTGATACAACCAAGCATAACGGGGTGTCAGATGATGCAATTAGACTCAAACTATTCCCTTTTGCTGTAACAGGGACAACTCTGAGACGGTTGGATAGACAAGCCCCCAACAACATCACAACGTGGGATGAATTGGCTGCTAAATTCTTTGCAGAGCACTTCTGCAGGGAGAAATACAACAAGTTGGTGAATGAGATCACCAACTTTACTCAACATCCGGGAGAAACTTTATGTGCAGCTTGGACCAGGTTCCAAGAATTGATTAGGAAGTGTCCCCAGTACGACTTGTCGGACGGAAAGAAGGTAAGAGTCTTCTATAACGGAATGATGCCAGAATCCAGAATGGTGGTTAATGGTGCAGCTGGAGGGACCATAGAAAAGAAGACAACAGCTCAAACTATAGAGTTGATTGACTTCATGGCAAGAGCTGATAATGCATCAATGACAATTCCACCTGTTCAACTAATTCAACCAAGAAAGGGAATCCTGCAGTTGGGGAACAATGATGCATCACTTGCAGAACAAAAGATCCTATCTCAACAAATAGCAATTATGAATGCTAAGTTAGACAAGTTACAACTATTTACAGCTCAAATTGACTCGGTCAACTGCGAGTATTGTCAAGAGAAACATGATACTAACATTTGCCCAACATTGGTAGGATCAGATGCTTTACAAGTCAATGGAATCTGGTACGAACCAAAACCACAACAGAATTATGGAAGAAACCAGAACAGTGCTACAGGGAACAACTTGCAAAAGAGAGTGCAAGGAACAGGTTTGGATTACAAATCCAACAACTATTTGCAACCTTCACCAGTCCCACAAACTCAAATATCTGAACTGGAGAGAGCACTGATACAGTTGACGAAAAATACTGACATATTCATGAATGAGACAAGGGCTCATCACAAAAACCAAGATGCATCTATGAGAAACTTGGAAAACCAGATAAGAGAACTGTCAAAACAGCTTCAAGAAAGGACTAAAGGGAAGTTTCCAAGTAACACAATAATCAATCCACGAGAAGATTGCAAATCAATTGTTACAAGAAGCGGAATTGTCATCACTCCTCAAGAAAAACCAAAGGTGGTTCAGCAAAAGAAAGCAGACGAACCAGTTCTTCAACCGGTGATAGAAAAAGAGGAGGAAACACCTACAAAGGAAGACAAAGAGGAAGAAAAGGGGAAAGCTGTCGAGACTCCAAAGAAGCAATGTGATTTGTCTCGCTTTGAGAAACCACCTTATCCCATAAAGTCAAGGCAAGCACAGAAGCAACAACAAGCCAGGTTTTTAGAAATATTTAAAAAGTTGCAAATTAATATTCTCTTTGCTGAAGCTTTAGCTAACATGCCTAAATATGCTAAGTTTATGAAAGAACTCTTGTCTAGAAAGCATAAGTTGCAGGAATGTGAAACAGTTGCTCTAACCGAAGAGTGTAGTGCCATAATCCAGAAGAAGTTTCCCCCAAAGCTTCAAGATCCAGGGAGTTTCAACATCCCGATTGCGATAGGCAACATTGATGTTGGCCAGGCATTATGCGATCTTGGAGCAAGTATTAACCTTATGCCGCTATCTGTGATGAGGTCTCTTGGAATTTCTGAGTTGAAGCCGACAACACTATCGCTCCAACTTGCTGACAGAACGTTGAGAAGACCGAACGGAGTAATTGAAGACGTACTTGTCAAAGTGGAAAAGTTCATCTTCCCTGCTGACTTCGTAGTCCTTGACATGGACGAAGGAGGAGACATGCCTCTTTTGTTGGGTAGGCCATTCCTTGCTACAGCAAGAGCCTTGATAGATGTGGAAAACGGAAAGCTGGAATTGAGAATGGACGACGAAAAAGTCACTATCGATGTGTTCAAAGTTATGAAGCATGCAGGAGATAATGGTGACTACTTTCGTTTAGACATTCTTGAAGCACTCCTCCTTGAACAAGAAGATGATCAGACTCTTGAAGAAGAGAAAGAATTCTTTAATGAAAACCCTCCGAAGGAAAATGCTGAAATTCCGACAGAGGAGTTGAAAAAGAAAAAGTCAGACACAATAAAAGAAGCACCTGAGGTGGAGCTAAAAGAGCTTCCATCCAATCTAAAATACATTTTCTTAGGAGATAAAGAAACGTATCATGTCATCATCAACAAAGTGCTATCTGAAACTGAAGAATCAAAGTTGATGAAAGTGCTCAAAGACCATCAAACAACCATTGGATGGTCATATCTGATCTAAAAGGAATCAACCATTCCTTCTGCACTCACAAAATACTAATGGCAGATGACATCAAACCTGTGAGACAACCTCAGAGAAGACTAAATCCTACCATGAAAGAGGTGGTTCGGAAGGAAGTGGTAAAGCGCCTTGATGCTGGCATGATCTACCCAATCTCGGACACTGCATGGGTAAGTCCTGTCCAAACAATACCCAAGAAAGGTGGAGTTACAGTGATCAAGAATGAGAGTAATGAACTGATCCCCACCAGAACCATAACAGGGTGGAGGATGTGTGTGGATTACAGAAGAGATGCCACACGAAAAGATCACTTTCCTCTCCCTTTCATTGATCAGATGCCGGAACGGTTGTCCGGACATGCATATTACTGTTTCCTAGATGGTTACTCCGGCTACAACCAGATACCTGTTGCACCAGAGGATCAAGAGAAGACGGCTTTCACTTGTCCTTTTGGAGTGTTCGCCTACAGAAGAATGACATTCGGCCTTTGCAATGCACCTGCTACTTTTCAAAGGTGCATGCTTTCCATCTTTTCTGATGTGATTGAAAAATCATTGGAGGTATTTATGGATGACTTTTCTATTTTTGGTTCTTGCTTAGTTAATTTAGCTAAGGTTTTGAGGCGTTGTCAAGAAACAAATTTAGTACTAAACTGGGAAAAATGTCATTTTATGGTAAAGGATAGGATAGTATTAGGCCATAAGATTTCTGAAAAAGGGATAGAAGTTGATAAAGCTAAACTGTTGTTAATTGAAAAACTTCCCCCTCCTTCTAATGTAAATGGTGTTCGAAGCTTTTTAGGACATGCAGGTTTTTACAGGCGATTCATCAAGGACATCTCCAAGATTGCGAAACCATTGAGTCAACTGTTGGAGAAGGACTCTGAATTTAAAATTGATGAAGGATGCCTGAAGTCCTTTAACCTGCTGAAGGAAAAGCTGACAACCACGCTTGTCCTGATGGTGCCTGATTGGAACCTTCCTTTCGAGCTCATGTGTGATGCAAGTGCGTACGCAATAGGAGCAGTCCTCGGTCAGCGTAAGGATAAGTTATTACATGTAATTTACTATGCTAGCAAGATTCTGAACGAGGCACAAGTGAATTATGCAACAACTGAAAAAGAGATGTTAGCTGTAGTATATGCATTAGATAAATTTAGACCTTACCTGATAGGAGCTAAAGTTATTATTTTTACTGACCACTCTGAATTGAAGTATCTCATGAGTAAACAGGATGCAAAGCCACGACTGCTACGTTGGATGCTTCTTTTCCAAGAATTTGATCTGGAGATTAGAGACAAGAAGGGAGTTGAAAACAAAGTGGCAGATCACTTGTCAAGGGTTCAAGCCAAAGAACTGCAAGATGAACCTGAGTTTGAAATAAAAGAATCCTTCCCTGATGAACAAGTAATGGCAATCCGATTCGCGCCATGGTTCGCAGAATTTGTGAATTACAAGGCTGTAGGATCAATTCCTGAAGAACTCACACAGCAACAGAAAAAGAAGTTCCTGCATGATGCAAAGCGGTATTACTGGGATAACCCTTACTTACATTTTCAATGTGTTGATGAGATTATTCGCAGGTGTGCAGCTGAGATGGAAATTCCAAAGATTCTGTGGCATTGTCATGCTTCAGATAATGAAGGTCACTTTGGTGGAAATAGAACCACACAGAAGGTCCTACAAAGTGGATTTTATTGGCCCACAATCTTCAAAGACTCAAAGGAGTTTGTGGAGAAGTGTGACAGATGCCAAACGATGGGAAACATATCCCGAAAGGATGAGACGCCGCTGAATTGCATACTTGAAGTGGAAATCTTTGATGTATGGGGTATTGACTTCATGGGACCTTTCCCTTCGTCATACTCCAACCAATACATCTTGGTTGCTATTGACTACGTGTCCAAGTGGGTGAAAGCAGTGGCTTTGTCGACAAATGATGCTCGGGTAGTCGTGGCCTTCCTACAGAGAAACATCTTCACCCAATTCGGAGTTCCAAGAGTCATCATCAGCGATGGAGGAACCTACTTCTGCAACAAACAATTTGAGGGTCTTATCAAGAAGTATGGAGTCACATACAAAGTGGCCACACCGTATCATCCTCAGACAAGTGGACAAATGGAGATTTCCAACAGAAAGCTGAAGCGAATCCTGGAGAAGACTGTGAGCCATACAAGAAAGGATTGGGCAAAGCGGCTTGACGATGCACTCTGGGCATACAGAACAGCTTTCAAGACTCCCATAGGTATGTCACCATTCCAACTAGTGTAGGGTAAGTCCTGTCATCTCCCTGTTGAGTTAGAACATATGACTATCTGGGCAACTAAATATCTGAACTTTGAACCAACTAAAGCTAATGAAAAAAGATTACTGCAATTACATTAGTTGGATGAGTTCAGGTTAGCTGCTAATGAGAATGCCAGGATCTACAAAGAAAAGACAAAGAGGTGGCATGATAAGAAGATAACTCCAAAGGAATTTGAGCCGGGACAACATGTATTATTGTACAATTCTCGACTGAGATTGTTTTCAGGTAAACTTAAATCCCGCTGGTCAGGTCCTTTTGTTGTCAAAAAGGTATACCCTTATGGTACAGTAGAAATTTCTCCTATAGATACTGATAATTCTTTCAAAGTTAATGGTTGTAGGCTGAAATTATACTATGGAGGACAGGTGAATCGAGACAAGATTTCTGTCCCTCTGACTTCACCTGAGTCTTAAACTGTTCACGTCAGGCTCGTGACGTAAAACAAGCGCTAATTGGGAGCCACCCCAATAAGTTTTTCAATTTTTTTTATTTTATATTATTTTTATTCTATTAGTTTTTGATTATTTTTTTTGTTAGTTTATTTATTTATTTGAAAAATATATATATTTTATTTTATTTTTCATTAAGAGATGGAAACTTTTAGTGTAAAATTTTAATTTGAGATGAAGGAAAATCTGAAGAAAAAAAAATACTGAAAAAAAAATTAATGGTGGCGCAAAAGCATTAAAGTGGTGCAAAAGGTTCCAACAATTGCAAGTTTATGTACCTTGGAGCAAAAAACGCTCCTTTTGCGCAAAGAAAGCAATTACCGTTCGCGCCTCGAACCAATTCTGGCGCAATTTGCGCCACTGAATGAAAGTTTCTGTTAGTTGAAGCAAATTGCGCGAACAAATTAGTTTCTGGGGCAATTTGCGCCACCATTGGTTCAACAATTTTGTTTTAAATTTTTTTCTTTTTACAAACCTTCTTTCTTTTTCCAAACACCAACCAAAACCAAGGCCCACCACTAGATTACCACACCGACAGCCACAAACCACACACCGAAGACCACAGCTCCACCATTTTTTCTCCTCGGCCAAATACCAACACAGATACAGCCACTGTGCCTTGTCTTTGGAGTCGTTATTTTAATTTTTTTGGTATTCAATTATCATTGATACCAATCATCACCGATTCCATATCTGGGTTTCAAGTCTGTGTTAAAATTTTCTTTAATGGGTAAAATCAAGGTTCCACTTCCCTTCTCATGTTAATTGTATAAATTGCAGAATTTTATTTTTGAGAATTTTCCTTAAACTCTTTACTTCGATTATGGCTGAGCTTTGATTAAAGGATTTTACTGGTGATTTGATAGATTGGGTAATTAAGTTTTGGTCTTCGGTTTTAGGATCCCTGGATTCTCAAATTTTTATTCTGATTGGGATATAAAATATTCAATTCACACAGGTCCATACTAGTATTGAATGCATCGTGAGACTTGTGTTATTTTTTGTTGAAGTTTGTATTTGGGCATAATGAATATCACAGCATGTCTCTGACTTTTCTTGGATAGGAATTTGGATATTTGGATAGGAATGTTGGGACCACTGTTGAATCTGATTTGGTCAATTAATGGTTCGGTTGACAACATAGTATGCCACCAATTTCTGCCATGCCTATCTCACGGTCTAATTGACCAACTGAATCACACAAAACCCCAACCTAGCCATACATTATTATTGAATAGTAGTTCTTACTTTTATTTGGTTGTTGGTTAAATTATATGATTGACTGCTTCATCTGAGAATCTGATAGATATGAGCCTTTATTCCACTGAGACTGAGTTGATTGCTATGATTTATTGTTTACAATAAATCTGGGAATTGGTTGGTATACCTGTGATTGTTTTATCCTAAAATTTATATACCATGGGACTTTTCTGATTTTCAGGGTACCACTATAAAGCACAAGAGGCCAAAGGTTGCTGTAGATAGAGAGCTGCAAACAACCAATAATATCCCCAAGAACAAAAGGTCCAGAGAAGCAGCTTCCAAGGAGACACAACATGCCAATAAAGCCTCACAGAATAAGAATAGTAGAGCAACTGCAATTAGAGAGGCACAAACTACCTTTGATAAGGACAGGTTCTTATCCATAGAGTGTCAAGAGAGGTATCACACTTGGTTTCTATCCAAATTCCTCATCAAGGAGAGAAAAATTGACCTTGCTCAGCCAGAACAGTCACCAATATTAGAAGTGATCAAAAGAAGGAAGTGGGAGCAACTAGTAACCTTTCCATCTGTCAGCCACAACTCTATTTTGAAAGAATTTTGTTCTAATGCCAACAAGGAAGAGGTAGCTAAGAGCAGGATGTCTTGGGTAAGAGGAGTTTCGGTTCGTTTTGATGCAAGCACCATAGAGAGCTTATTGGGAACTAGCTACAATCCTAATCAGGAATGTTCCTTTCAGAAGCTTCTCAAGTACTTTGAACCCTTAAACAAATCCAAGACATTGTACAGTAACCACATTACTGCAGCTGCAAACACTATAAGATTAAGTGTTACAATCCCACATGCCAAATGGAGCTTCAAGTCAAGCAAACCTATTATTCCTGAAAAGTTGAACAGAGCTGACCTGAATGCAGTTGCACGTTTTTGGCATCAATTCATTAACAGCAACATCTTTCCTTCCACCAATCACATTGATGTCAACATTGAGCGAGCAACACTTATATGTGTACTCCTTAGTGAAAA